TCCTCCTCCTCCTCCTCCTCCTCCTCTTCTTCTTCTTCTTCTTCTTCTTCTTCTTCTTCTTCTTCTTCTTCTTCTTCTTTTTCTTCTTTTGGTACTGGGATCAAACTCAGGAACTTTGCCTGCAAAGCAGGTGGTGCAGTGCCACTGAGCTAAATCCCAGGGCCCACCTTTGGTTTTCTTGTAGAAAGTTTTCATCTCAGGCTTCCATTTTGTTGAGGTTTCCTTATCAATATTTCCATCATGGTGCAATGTTGACATCAGCAGTACCAGTTGGGGTTTTTTTGCCATATACAAGGTCAACATAAATCTTTCTGAAATCCAAAGATTGCACTATACAATTTTCTGTCTTGAAATTGTAACATTTCATTTGGAATTTCTGCTTTGTTCCTGTGTATAGTTTCCATGTTGGTCAACCTGTGCTCTGTTAACAAATGTAACATCAATTGGAAACTAGTAAACCAATTGTCAAATGTCACATTCTGATTAGTTTGGGAGTTGGGAACAACAAGTCTGTACAATGCATCATTCAGTTTATTACTATCCAAATAAAGACCTTGTGGCTGAGTTCCAGGATAAATTTCTAAATTGAAAGCATAGCAAGTCTTCACATCCACAAGGGCATAAATTTTTATGCCATATTTTGACCCATCCCTTTTCCATAAGTCTTTTACATTCCTGTGATTACCATGAGAAATCTCTGCTAAGCACAGCAAACCTATGAATGTTTTCAGTTCAGATAGTGAGGTGTCATAATAAAAACATTTTTGAATATGGCTATTGGTGCATACAGAACATTTTACTTGTATTTCAGCCTTTGTGTATTTCACAACATCTTGTAGCATTTTGTCTGTTACAATTTCCAACACTGAATAGTAGTGCTGGCATTCTGTCCAATAGGTTTCACCCCTGCCAAGATTCTCACTGTATTTTCAGACCTAGTTCTAACATTAGATCATTCTATTTGGTTGTGTGACCATTTCCTAACATTTTGACTAGTCAAATATACTGTTTTCTTCGTCATCTGAATCAACATTCCCTGTGTCTGTATCAGTTATCCTTGCTCCATTTCACTGTCACAGGAACTTTGGCTCACATGGCCAACATCAAAGTCGTCATCATCATCATCATCATCATCATCATCATCATCATCATCATCCACCCACACCACTCTTCTGTTATGAAAACATGTATTTTACTATAATGGATCATTTTCATAAACTATACATGAGTAATCTGATGATTTCCATTTGACCTCCTCCAAAACTTGCAAATCTGGTTTTTCATGTGCCATTGTACTGAAATGGGCTACTTCCATCATTCTTGGCACTTTCTGAAGCAGTTTTGAGTCTTTTGTGATTGTCTTTGGCTGTGCCATCCTGGGTGCCTAGAAATCCAAAATGTCTTCTAGTCCCATCCATGTCATTACCACACTGCATTTTCTTTATCCATTCATAAGTTGATGGACACTTAAATCGATTCTATTTCTTGGCTATTGTGAATAGTGAGTTTGTAGAGGTTTCAGTCCATAGTCAGCTGTCTCCAAGGAAGGATGGCACATGGCAAAGGGGAAACAGTTCATGGCAGCAAGGAAGTTAGCAAAAGTAACAAGAGCAAGTATGAAAAAGTTGTTTTTGTTTTGTTTTGTTTTGTTTTTTGGTACCAGGGATCGAACTTGGGACCTTGGGCTTGAGAGGCAGGTGGCGGAACCACTGAGCTAAATCCCCGGCCCTGCTCTAGGAATTCTATTGTATTTGTTCACACAGCAAGAAATGAATCAGAAGCCCAATTCATCTGCACCTGGGGCATAGTGCCAGAACACTATTCAGTTGAAATCATTAGAAGATAGCATTATTTAGCATGTGGTTTGATTTAAATTTCTTCACTTTCTATTTGTATAAATTTGAGCCTTGTGAGCTCTTCAGTTTTCTTACCTGTAAAATAATAGTAGTTTCTTTTTTCTTAAATAATATGAATTATCTAAAGTATGAATAGAGTTTAACACAAAACCTGGCATAGGGTAGATCAGCAATAAAAGACAGATTAAAAACATGCCAGCGACACATGAGACAGACATGAAGGTTTATCCTTGGTATGGTCATTTACCTAGGGGAATTGATCTATGCAAATTAGGAGACCATGTTAGATCAGGCGAAATTTCTTTGGTGAAATTGGATCCAACAGAAATGGGATTTAGTTCAGGACCCCGTTATTATTCTTAGGGTTTCTGTCAGGTCCCATGCATACTGAAGGTCAAGGCAGCTTCTCTCCTGGTTGTGCCAGAGTCCACTGAAAACTTCATACTTTTTAGTCATTCCTGAGTACATATTTCTCAGGTCAGGCTGGCCACCTTTTTGTTGACATGTGGTCTTTTCTGAATCCTTGATTATGCCCCTGACCAAAGTGGATTAAGTGTAGCCCCACCTGAAAGACAGCTGAAGGGCTCAAGACTACTTCACACAGCCTTCTAAAGCACCTCAAATGTATCAGACATTAATCTAAATATGAGTATATGATGATAAATGAAAGAGGGTAAATGCCTGCCTACATAGGGCTTATAGTCCAATGAGACAAACAATGAAAAAGAATATGTAAGTTGAGCATCCTTAATCCAAAAATCAAAAATCTGAAATTCTCCCAAATCCAAAACTTTTTGAGCATAGAGATAAACCACAACAACATGTGATGAGTCCCAGTCGAAATACAGACTCACTAAAAATATTGTATAAAATTACCTTCAGGCTATGTGTATAAAGTATATATGAAACATAAATGAATTTTGTGTTCAGACTTATGTTCCCTTCCTACAATATTTCATTATTACTTGCAAATATTCCCAAATGTAAAAAAATCCAAAAATCTGAAATACTTCTGCTTCTAAGCATTTCAGACAAGGGATATTCAAAGTATAATGTAATGTAATGTAATATAATATAATATAATAATAATATATAAAGGCTATGACAAAAAGCAACAAAAGAGATCAGCAAAGTACTTGCTGCACAGAATCTTGGATTATGTGAAGAAGTGAACAATGTGACTATCTAAGGTAAAAATGTTCCACACGGGGATGAGAAGCCCAAATTTCCTGAAGCAGGAAGGTGACTTGTGGGTTGGATTGGAGTGCAGTGAGGATATGGCAGGAAATGAAGTTGAGAGGTAGTGGGAGGCCAGATCAGATAGGGCTGTGTAGGTCACGGTGAAGATTTTGGAATTTATTCTAAATGAGACAGGAAACCACTGGAGGTTTTTGTGATTGATCTGAGCTACATCTTTAAATGATCAGTCTGGTTGCTCTAGAGAGAATGGACTGTAATATGGTTGAGGTGGCCTGGAAAAGGCAGACCAGTGAAGACCCTTTTGCAGTATTCCAGATAAGAGATCTTTGTGGGTTGAGTAGGGTGTTTGTGTGGTGGAGGTATGAAGTGATTATATTCAGGATATGTTTTAAAAACAGAAATAAAAGGTACTTGGGGAGTAGATTGTATAGGGATGGAGGTGGGGGTAAATGGCATACAAGACTCAAAGATAACCTCTTCTTTTTGATCTGAACACCTAGGTAGAGCTGCCATTTACTGAGATGACAGGAACGGATGAAGAAAAAGGCTAAAGCAGTTAGAAATAAAGAACTATACTCAGGTGTCAGATACGTAAGTGTCATCATTATGCAGCCTTGTGCCTATTAGAATGCTTAGAAGACTAGTCAAAGGCCTTACTTTCCTAAACCAGGGATGCAGCAGAACTGAACCCTCGGAAGTCATTTGCTGGGGGCTCATTCCTAGGAAACACACAGAGTGAATGAGCAACTGGGGCAGCTAGAGTAAGATTTCACCGGAGAGCTCTTCAACCTAGACTTGGAATTTAAATTTTTATGTAAGTAAAAAAAGGAAAATTTGGGTTCATATGTGTTACAATCTAATAAGTGGTTTCAAAATTTATCACATTTATCCTATGAAATGACTATCTTCCATTTCGGAAATAAGAAAATGGAAGTTCAGAGAGTTCAATGACTTGCCCAACGTCACACAATAAGGCTTTGTGGCCCCGAATTATCTCCATTTTATTGTGGTTATTATGGAGTAGTCACATATTGATTTTGTCAGTACAAAAAAACTAAATTAATTGTAGCAAAGATGGGAGTAAAATGTTCTTCTTGTCCCCTGCAAATGACTTGTGTGCACAGTCCTGCATCCTAAACATTCCTCTGTAATCCTAGGCTTCTGTGGAAGCTTCATTTCCTTGACAACCAAGAGGCTCATGAGTTTCACTCACAACTACTGTTTCTCTTCACAAATAACTTTTTATCAATGCTTCATTTGCATTGAAAGAGATTTTCATGCCAAGCAATATTTTGGGAACATTTTACAACTCCTGTTGCTAAAGTTCTGGGAGAAGCTGCTTCAAAAAGGCCCAAACTGTTTCCCCATTGGATCATTTCAAAACACAATGAGAAGAGAATAGTTTCTCAATGAGTGTTTCAGTAATTTCTGCAAAATATCATTTAGTTCTGATGGAGACCACAACTGTGTCTGTACAGTGCCGAACAGGTGGATGAAAAGTAAGAGTGGAAGGAATTGAGATGTTAATAATGGGCGAAAAGATAATTCTAATGTCTCTTAGGCACTATAGGTGTTTACCCTGGAGTCACCTAAAACTCTTCTCAGTCTCCTCCCAATCCACCAGCATATGAAAGAGTAGACAGAGCACTGTACTCAAAGAAAGAAGTCAGGGTATCAGTCTTATCCTTGGTGCTGGCCTTGGTGTGACTCCATGGAGCCTCAGCTTCTTCGTCTGTGAAATGGACATGCTAATACCTGCACAACTTCTAAGAAGATTATGAGGAATAAATGAAACAAGTTTCAAGCTAGGCAGTATTTATCATTGCTCTCCAGTTCTGAACACAGATGTGTAGTAGAGACTAGATAAATTCTGCTGAATAATTTATGAATGACAATAGTGTAGGCAGTGCTATAGCACTAGCACCTATTATTTATACAACTCTATTCATGTTTGGCAATTCCCTCTGGTACTTCAGCAAATTTATCATTTCTAGACTATGAGGACACATAACCCAGAGAAAATATTTACTAAAAGCATAAAATGTACTATGCTAGGTGCAAATAATTTTTTCCAGTTACTCCAAGTAATGAATAACTCCAGCTTCTGTTCTATTTGGAGCACCTGTTTGTAATCCATGTCATAAATATTTTCATGACTATTGCTTAGTAGTCAATGAGTTTCTTTGTTGGCACAGAATTTAAGATATTTCCCTAATAAGGACACCCAGTGTTAAAGCAATGAATTTCTATAGCTATGCAGTTCAGAGAGTTACCTAGGAGATGAAAAGCTAATCTGTCTGGAATTTCTGCCCTTGAGACCAAAGATACTCTAAATTTGCTCTGGAGGAAAATAATCATGGTAAGCATCTTAATGTCTTCCACCTCGTTTCCAAGCAGATGTCGCGGTGTTTCAGCCTGGAATTCATCATCGTTCTGATACATCAACACTGACATATTACATCTTCATCTCTTATGATAGAAAATGGAAATGAAACCAGAATGTGAGCTCGTTGAATGACTTGGACTCCCCAGAGATTTGGAGGAGAAGAAAACCTCCCACTCGCCTTTGACTTTTGGATTTCTTGTTGCCTTCATGTTTGGATTGCACTTTGAGAAGTCCATCTGGAAGTTCACTTTGTATATTTTGGAAATGCAAAAAGGAGCTTGTTATTTAAAAAAACTCCAGCTGAAGAAAAATAGTTGGGAAGGGGGGAAAGTGCCACCTAACAAATCCAATGACAGTATTTAAGATGAAACTCCAGAGATTAAACTCCATTTATGTCTGTGTTGACTTTGCCGGTCTGCCAGTTGGGGCGAATGCGTGGATATGTTTAGCCATTTGCTTCCTATCTATTAAGCTCTCCGTCTAGTGGATGAGTTTGGATAGGTGTCAACACCTGCAAATGTCATCAATCTTGTAATACTTCTGTGGAGCTCTTATCAAGGTAGCACGGCAGTCTGCTTGAGACTCCAGTCACCCCACAGCAGGGACTAGCATACTTCTTTCCTCTTTCTGGCCTCACAGAAACATTCTTAAGATTTCAGGATCCTATTATATGTTAAGTGAATTGCGTTCTTCTTGAATTCCTTACAGAGTCACTCTGGTCCTTGGAGATTAGAAGTTTAAACTTGGAAGGCCATACCTCATTGAGTCCTCTTCACTTTGGCTTACCATCCATTTCTGTTCCAGCCAGACTTAATCCCCTACAGACATATCAAGTCAACCATCAGTCAAGGTGGTCTTTATTTCTTTCCACATGCTACAGAGATTAAGGATGCCTGATTTTCTCATATATTCCCTGGCACACTTGAAGGGCAGATTGGGCTACTGTCCAACATGGATGTAAATAATATTTACAACTTGGCCCAAACTTGTTGACCATTTGCAAAAAGAATTCATCTTATCCTAGAGTTACAAGTGACAATGCCATCTTGGCCCCAGTTGGCAACTAGAACAAGCATTAGCACCCCAGAATCTCAGCAAATTTAGGGAAACAGGGTAGAGAAAGAGCAGCTTGCTTCAGTAAGTCTGAGGAAAACTGTCAGCATTAGGCAAAAGGCATTTAGAGCATTAGATTTAGTTCTTTGACTGAAGTTCAAATCCTAGCTGTAGTACCCTATGGCTATGTGACTTTGGAAATGTGGTTTAATCTCCCTGGACCCATGTGATCACTTGCAAGATGGGAATACTGTCATCTGCCCTGTACTATCACAGAATAATTAGGATAAGGGATGTGAAGATGTCTTGAAAACAACCAAGTGCTACTGAAGTAAAAGCTACCACCATTGTCACCCACATCACACTTCAGCTTGGCTGACAACCACTTATTACAAGTTTTATGGTAAGTTTTAAAACACATCAAGAAGTTTCTTATCTAGGGCCGGGGATTTAGCTCAGTGGTGCAGCTGCCTGCCTCGAAAGGGCAAGGTCCTGAGTTCAATCGCCTGTACCAAAAAAAAAGAAGTTTCTTATCTATCTCACTGAGCCTTTATTTCCCTACTGTAAAATGAGGAGGAAATTATACTTACATACCTCACAGGCTCAGTAGGATAATGGGTGTGAGGGGACCAGTAGTGCACAAGGTGGTGGATTTATCCAGGTCTTTGGCATTACCTTGAGACTTGGCAGGGTAGCTGCCCAGTACATATTTCTGAATCTGACTCTCACAGACACTTTCCTGGAAGCTGACTGTTTCAGTCAGTGATCTTGGTACCTCTCTGCTGCAGACATGGGAGGACGTGGCACCCAGGGAAGCAGGGAAAACTGCCGAGCTCCTTTCTCTGAGACAGGGTACTGCCACCTTGTCTCCTTGTCCTGTCTTGACTGGGAGGTCCTGTGATTTCACTTCAAGGGAAAAGTTCAAGAGAGCTCAGTAAGAGCAGAGGGAGGAGATTGGGAACAAAGGCAAATAAAGCACATGCAAGGTTATTGAGACAATGAATATGGAAGTCACAGCACATGAGGTTCTATGACACAGTCTTTAAATATCTAAAGGAATTTGTTTTCATAAACTATTCAGTGGCAGTCAAACATAAGAAATATATTTTATATCATACACCTATAAACTAAGGCAACATTTATAAATAATGCTAGTCTATTATATGATATGAACTATTAATCTAATTTATTGGATTCTATCCTTTTCTACTCTATCCTACTTTAATTTGATTAAATATAATGCAGATTATAATTCCAAAATTGATTTTGTGATTGATTAACGAAATATATTGATATAAAAGACATGCAGAGTCCCAGGGGGATGAAATTAGGACTTTGAGTTGAGTATTAGAGCAGATTTTAGCTCAAAATAAGGAAGAAATTGCTAATAATTAGACACAGTCACACTAATGTATAGAATGGGCCTCTCAAGGTAATGAGACTCCCCTTGTTTGCTATTTTAAAGATTAGACTTAATTTTTTTTTTTTTTTTTTTGGTGCGGGGGATCGAACTTGAGACCTTGTACTTTCGAGGCAGATGCCAGAACCACTGAGCTAAATCCCCAGCCCCGATAAGACTTAATTTTTATGCTGTGTCTCTGAAATAAGGGCCTCCATGTTCAAAGATTCGGGAGCCCACAATGTACACTAAGCTGAAAGAAAATCCAGAATACAAAGGGGAGATTTTAGTTTCAAAAAACTGAAAAGAAATACAAGAGAAGATGAGACATAGTGTTTGGGAGATTGTCTTTCTTTAGCTTCTATCCAGTTAAAGAAAAAACATTCTCTGCTATGTTTTTGTTCCCCATTGAATGACCTATCTTCCTTCTTTTTTTTTTTCCTTAGAAAAAAATATTTGTTGTTATTGACAGTAACATTTTAAATCAGTCACTTCTAAGTTACTGGGATATTTCTTTTTTAAATTTTATGGTCATTTTCAACTTTCATCACAGCATAGGTAGTTGCCTTTTGAATAGCTCAGAGTTTGTGTTTCACTGTGCCCTGAGCTTAGGACATTGTCCAGCATAGAATCAGAACAGTGACTTGCTGCAGAAATGAGTGCACATATACGTGTGCAAATGAATCCACTTGCTTCCTTAGAAAGGAGCATCTCTGCATCACAGGTAATGAATCTTGGTGAGAAAGCAGTTTATTTGGGAACCAGAGAGATGGTAAAGGTTGTTGAACTACTGACCAGCAGATGATACCTAGGAGATCGTCTTGAGGGACGTTTTTAGAATAAGGACTTCCTTGAGAATCTCACGAAAGGATTCCATCAGAAATACAAATATATGCGTATTTATACAAAACCCTGAACCAAATTTCAGGAGTGCAGTTCTTACTCTCTGGCATAAGGTTAAGCTCAGCAATTAGATCTGACTCAAATGGATTTTTTTTTTGTATTTGCTTAAGCAAGTAGGATTTTGGAGACAGTGTAAAGAAGTTAACATTAATACACTCTTACTATGCACTAGGTACTGTGCTCAGTATTTTATCTACATTATTTAATAATAATCATGTGATATAGGAACTACTATTAAATATATATGTGTGTGCATGTGTGTGTTCTGTACTACATAAATATTCAGTATATATTCATATATATCCATATACATAAAAATGATATACATACACACACACACACAGGATGTCACATTCATGCCACCCTTGTTCTTTTCTCTGTCCTTTCCCTCCCTCCATCCTTCAGTCAATAGCTTCCATCCCCTCTTCCCTCTCAGTCTCAGAATTTAAAACACAAAACATTGTTTAATACTCATTTTGCAGGAGCCCACTCTCACTTGGCGACTTCTGTAAAACAAAAGTCTGGCTCACTTCCTGGGAAAGGAGCATGGCCTTCTGTTTCTTCCTGACAAGTCTGGATAGCAAACAACAAGACACAAGTCAATTTTTAATAAGATCTTTTTCTATGTTATATTCTCAATAAAGTGTCCTTGGTAATATAACCACATGTACATAAATAAGACACAGTTGTTTCCCTTTAGAAGTTCATCCTCTGCTTGGGAGTTCAGATTAGTTCAGTGGTTTGATTAGGATCCAGTGGCAGTCGTATCTGGTGATCCACACCCTAATAACTGTTAACTCTCAGAATGGGCTGCATCCACTGGGTCCGTTGAGTGTTATGTGCTAATGAGTACACACACCACTCCACCTGGGGATAAAGTTCTTAGAAATGAGGTCTGATATATAGGGTTTCACATCATTAGCATAGAGTAGCTAAAGAAACAGTATGAAGAAATTCACCTAGGGACATCTTGAAGAGTGAGAAGCAATGACTGAAGTCAGTATGCTGAGCAACACCATTGTTTATCCTGTGGGAAAAAAAAGAGGCTTGTTGGTGAGACTCTGAGAGGGAGCAACTAGGGTGAAGGCAGGAAGAGAACCATGAGGAAATGCTGTCAAAAGCCAACAGAGGGGAATTTCAAGAAGCAGGGGATGGCCAGCAGCATCATGCCACAAAGGACAGCAGTAAGATGAAGCATGGACTTGACTATCAGCAGTTCATTGGTAATGTCCTCAAGACCACTTTCTGTGGAAGTGGTGAGCTGGAAACCATTCCTGTGGGTTGTGGAGCGAAGAGCAGATGAGACAGTTGAGAGCTGAAATACACACCAGTGGCTCCCAAATGCTGGACCATGGAGACACCTCCATCAGTATCACCCATGGGGGTTTAGCAAATATATATTCTTGGCCTTGAAATACATTTTCTGAGTAAGTCTAGAATGGGTTCCAAGAATTTTTATTTCTAAAAATCCAGATTTGCCAACTGTAAGAATGAAAACTACAAGCGAGTAGGTGTCTTGTTCCCCACTGTATGCCTAGGAGCTACAGTAGTTTTTCCTAAAGCAGTTTCTCAGTAACTGTGTAGGATAGCAGTTCCCTAAACTGTGTTTTATGAAGTAGTATTAGTAGCTATAGCATTTGCCATGCAAATCAGCAATGATGCAGTAGACCTATGTCCTCAAGTTCAGTCTATCAAACATTGGGAGACCAACATGATAAATAATCTTTCAATGCTATTCCTTCAGGTTGATTCCATCACTACTGATACATGTGACAAAAGCCCCTAACTGACATGGCCTTACTGTAGTCCATTGATGGCAAACATTGTAGAGCAGTGATAAGAAAGAGCTGGCTGCGGCACCACTGTTACAGGCAAATCATAAATTCATCTGATTAATTTT